TTGAAAAAATTGTTTAATCGATAAAAGATCTGAGATACATAAATATTAGATGAATATGCAAGCAAACTTGCATAATAATAAAAAAAACGTATTGACAAATAATTTTAGTTATATGTACAATGTGAAATAAAAATTATAAACGGTGATATTGAAATCTGTAATATATAGAATCAAGAATATACACCATATTCGGTGAATTTAAACCGCAAATCAAAATAAATCTAAATAAATAATGAAAATTACCTTGAAAATCGAGAAATCTGCTTGAATTAATAAAGAGTTTTCGTTTAGCAATAGGGAAAATTTCTTAAATAAAAATATATATATTTTGATGAACAATTTGTGAGAACCTTGAAGAAAGAGAATCTGAAAACGTGAAAAAAGGGATAGAAACGTGAAAGGTGAAGAAGGAAGGTTATTGAGTATTGGTAACTGATTGGTTAAGATTTTGGTCCAGCATATGATTGTTTTCATTTATAAAAATAATTTTAAATACTAAAATTTGAATGCATATTATTTTCTAAAATATTGTCATTTTGACATTTTAAATAAATATTTTAAAGTGTTGTTATTTTGTAAATATGTTAGGTATTATGACTTAATTGCTAGTTTTCAGTATATTTATTTCTAGCTAAGAGATTAATTTTCTTTAACGCTGAAGCTATCATAGACTAAGATTTTATAAGAATCAAAAGTTCATATCAAGTTATCAAATAAAACGTATATAGAGAAATTAAATTGAAAGCAACATACAAATTTAGATTAAAATGTTATAGATCTTATACTCCCCAAAAAATTATCTCGTTATTTTATTTAATTAAGATAAAGAGTATTCTTTAAATATTTCTATTTCATACTTAGAATCTTAATAAACTTACAACTTTAATCTAAAAGTATATCTGCATTTGAGTTGGGTTTATCAACAAAAAGTTTATATTGAAATAATTTTTAAAAAACCAATTAAAAGATTATGGTTTAAAATTTAAATTTAATACTAAATAGTTTTTGAGGATACAATTTTCCCGCTTCGAGAGTTATATGCTAAATGAAAAAAAAAATGAGAGTAATGAAAAAGTCTGATCAATAGCTATTATTGTTGGTTTTTTATTATTCAATGATATAAGCCCTTTATTTGATGTGGCTATTGAATTGCAGGTGGGGAAATATTTCTTCATAATTTAAATCCCAAAAGTTATATTTATTAAGGCTTGTTAGTGAAAAATCTTACAAGATAATAAAATTATAAGATTACAATTGAAAATAAAATGAAGAAATAAATCTCTTCAGGCTGAGGCGCGGATATCTCTCTCTCTTTAAGAAGATTCAAGTTCACTGCAGCAAATGTTTTCACCGGTCCAGCAGTAGTCCTCTTTGACTTGTCCCCTCCAGGATACAACAGTCTTCACAAAGTATAAACTCAACAATTTTGGACAAGAGTTGATTTCAAAGCTCCATAAATAAAACACATTTCTTCAACTAATAAAAACTCTCTTGTTGACTTACTTTTTTATTTTTCAAAGTAGAAGTAAAAGAACTAGGTTATGACAAACTATTTGTTCAATTCTTTGACCCCCACTATTTTTAGTATCAAAAGGAAATTTATTTTCATGAGAAATAGCATCACCTGAATCTATCACAATATTATCTTCAAGATTAAAAAATTTATAGGTTGTACTATTTGAAGCATAACCAAGAAGCACAAGTAGTAATTTTCTTACACAACGTTGTAAACTGAGATCCATTAGCCTCAAAAAGGCTAGACAATCCCAAACTCTTAGATATCCCAAACTTGGGTTGTAACGTTTTCACAATTCAAAAGGTGTCAATTTAGACTTTTTATGGGGCACACGATTCAACACATAACAAGCAATTAAGATAGCTTCACCCAAAAATTTAAAGGTGCATGTGACTCAATAAGTATGACATAAGTCAATTCAACCAAAATTATGTTTTTCCTTTCTACTACTCCATTAGATGAAGTAGAGTAAGGAGGAGTAGTTTCATGGATTATTCTCAATGATCTAACAAAATAATAAAACTCATTTGATTCATATTCATGTCCTCTATCACTTCTAATTCTTTATATTTTTCTTCCAAACTGATTTTCAACCATATGGAGATAAGTTTTGAAATTCTCAAAAGCATCACTTTTATTTTTCATCAAGTAAACATATGTAAACTTAGAAAAATCATCAATGAAAGTGAGAAAATATCTATTATCTCCACGAGTTAGAATTCCACCATGTTCACAAATATCAGTATGAACTAATTCTAACAAATCAGTTTTTCTTTCAACTTGGAAATGACGCCTTTTAGTGATCTTGGCTTTACTACAAGCCTCACACTTTTTAAAATTCTTTTTAAACATTTCGATTAATCCTAAACTACTCATGATTCCAACATAACGATCATAAATATGATACAAACGAGCATGTCAAAAGTTAGTAAAAGAAAGCATATAAACAGAAGTAGAAGTTTTATTCATTTCAACATTCAACTTAAACATCTCATAACATGCATACCCTTTCCCGTAAAAAATACCTTTCTTCACTATACATATTGATCAGATTCAATTATCTGTTTAAAGTCTACTTTATTAAGAAGAAAACTAGAGATCAAATTTTTTCTCATTGAAGGAGTATAAAGTACATCTTTCAATGCTAATACCCTTCCAGAAGTAAAACACAATTCAACATCTCCCTATCCAAGCACTTGAGTAGTGTGAGCATCACCAAGCATGATGGTTTTGGGCTCCTCAAAATGAGTGTATTTATTAAACCAGTCTTTGTCATAACAAACATGACGGTTTTTACTAGAATCAACCCACCATCCATCAACATTCTCAATCATGTTTATGTCGGTAATCACCACCACAAAAGGTTCTTCGATAACGTTCGCTTGAGGATTAGGACCACATTTCTGGAATCTGCAAAATCGAGCAATATGTCCACTTTTGCCACAAACAAATCATGGTCCCTTTTCTTGAAATTATTGATTTTGTGCTTGGTGATTTTCACTATTATTTTTTTTTGGGAGGTCTACCATTGTTTTTCTTGAATTTTTTCTTCTTAGACTTCAAAGAAGTATTTTTTGAGTTTCAGGAGTAGCATTATTCAAAGTAATTAAATTTACATTCGATGTGATGTTGTTCTCTTCTATTTGTAAAAGTGCATCTTGGCCCTTTGCTTCTTCTTCCATGCGGATTTTCATTATCAAGGTTTCAAGAGAAGTTTCCTTTTGTTTGTGGCGCATAGTTTTTTGAAATTCCTTCCAAGAAGATGGAAGTTTATCCACTATGCCACAAACAATAAGGTTATCTCCAATTTTAACATCTTCAGACTTAAGCACTCCAACGATCATCATAAAGTCTTGAGCTTGGTCTACCACTGATTTGTTGTCCACTATTTGAAAACGAAAAAATCTACTAGCCACATATTTTTTGCTCCAGCCTCTTCGGTATCATACTTACTCTGCAATGCTTTCTAAATTTTCTTTATAGTAGAGTAAGTGCTATCATAATAATCATAAAAATTATCAGATAGACAATTAAGAAGATAATACCGACACTTATAGGAATCACTATCATAGTTTTCAACTTTCTTTGGATGAGAAATAGTTTCATCATCATTCATAGAGGTGATGTCTTCTTTTTTAGGATTCTTCTCAGTTAACACATAAGAAACATTGAGAAGACTTAAGTAAAAAAGTACTTTACCCTTCCATCTCTTAAAATGGTTACCATTGGACCGAAATGGCTTGTTAAGATCTCCCATCTTGACACCCGCAGTTTTTTCAATTATAGTCATTTTCAATCTCCGTAAAAAGTATTGGTGTAATATACACAAATATAAAATATTACAGTTGAAATAAAATGAACAAAAATAATTATATTAATCTTTAGGCTGAGGCACGGATATCTCGCCTCTTTAAGAAGATTCAAGCCCACTGCGGCATAATCTACACCGATCCAGCAGTATAACTCTTGACTTGTCCCCTCCAGGATACAACAGCCCAACTACAGCGTATAACTCAAACAATTTCGGATTAGTTGAAGAGTCCAAAGCCACAAAGGAACACCTCCCTTCAATTAACAAGAACTCTCTTTTTGACTTACTCTTTGTTGTTGTAATTGGCAGAAGGTGGTCAAATATGACCACTAATCCTTTTCATAATTTCTCCATTATTTCTTATAACCTATGTAACCTTTGTAACTCCTATGTCATTCATCTTCAGTATTTACAACACCATTTATCTTCCTATTCATTGCTAGGAAGACTTCTACTAGTATAAATAGTGGTGGTCATCATTTGGTTTGGGACACACAATATACAAGAGAAAAACATAGAGCGAAAGAGTTAGTCAAAAAGAGAGTTCTTGTTAGTTGAAGGAAGGTGTTCTTTTGTTGAGCTTTGGACTCTTCAAATAATCCGGAGTTCTTTGACTTATACACTGTTGTAGGGCTGTTATATCCTGGAGGGGACAAGTCAAGAGTTATACTGCTGGATCGGTGTATATTATGCTGCAGTGTGCTTGAATCTCCTTAAAGAGCGAGATATCTATGTCTCAGCCTAAAGATTAATATATTCATTTTTGTTCATTTTGTTTCAACTGTAATATTTTATATTTGTATATATTACACCAACAAGTCTCACTTACAAAATCATAGTATAATTTGCTACTTGAAATCTTAGTATGAAATTAATGAGTAGTTTACTAAATCAATTCTCGAAAACATCATACGACTTCATTGATACACTTTGAATATTATTACTTATACCATAAGATTTAACATAATTTTAGACCGAGAAAATATTTTTAAATATTATTGATACTACCATTAAGTTAATATGATCATATAAAGAGTAACTATGTATTACTATAACTATTTCAAAAAATAAATTAACAAGTAAATATATTATTTATAATTTAAAAATTCTGACATTTTAAACATGAATACTAGTTATTCTTATACACAAAAATGTATATATGCCATAATTAATGTATTTTTGGCAGGGGCCATATATGTGTGTGATGTGTAGTTAAGTGATAGAAGATAAGGGGAGAGAGAGAGAGAGAGAGAGGGATATGGCAAGCAGAGGTGGAGGTTGGATATCATCAAGAAGCTGCATAAACACTAGTATTCCACAAAGAGATAGTAGTACAAGGATCAGCAAAGGAAATCACTTGTCATTGGTAAATCACAATTATTATTATTATTATTATTAATTGTTGTATGTATATTTGTTGTTACTCTTAGACTACTATTTGTGTTGAAGATAACAAAAAAAAGCAAAAAGCCTCTGGTGAGAATTTCTAGCTCAGATGGAAAATGGCATGGAGAATGGAATTCTGATTACATTTTCACACTTAAAGACCTTCAACTTGAAGATTTAGCTGAAGAAAGGGATACTCCAATTTCTATTCAACTCTCTATCCACAAGGTATACAACACACACACACACACACACATATATATATAGGTTCCTTTTGATTGACCAACTATACTTTTAATTCATAATTCAATGTTGATGAGCAAGCAGCACGCTGGCTTTGGGCTCTCAGTGGATGGAACAATTATCACATCTTTCACCACAAAATGTAGCAACTGTTATTCTCCATACTGCAGAGAGGTACATACAAGTTTTAAAGTTTGGGTATTACCATCAACCAGAGACAACAAAGGATGTGCACATCAACTTCCACTGCTTGGTTGGGATGATCCATCAGTAAGTATGTATGATTTCTTTTGTTACTTCTTGTTAATCAACTAACCAAAAAAAAAATATTATCCTCAGGTCATCTATGTCAAACCAGGATTTGAAGCTGACCTTGATTCCTTGATACAAGACACCGTTAGACTTGCTACCTCTGTAAAAGTAACTACTTTTCTTCTGTTTATTATAGGGGAGAAAAACAAGTAGATTATCAATATTGCTTCTTTTCTTTTGCAGGAGACTTGTTCAGAATCATGTGAGAAATCTGTACCTAAATTGCAGCGTACGAAACTCTTCCTTATATTTTTATTAATTATAACAAAAAAGTATAATCAATTCATATTTATTTGTTTATAATAATTGCAGCTTTGGGTAAACAAAATGCTGCCTCCATTGATAGGAGGTGGTCCAGATTATTGGAGCTTAAGAAGGAAACTTAACTTTCATCAAAATCTCAATATATATATATATATATGCACTGTAAAACCAAACAACATATTACTTTCTCCCTCTCTTCAAACTATTATCTTCTCATAGCTCAAATGAAAATAAAGGAAAATAAACTGTTTGCTTATTTACTTGCTCAAAACACTATTATACAGCATTAGCTTTTCGCACATAAAACTCCCACAACACAAAAATACTACTGTTAAGCTTTTGTATCGTTCAGAATATCCAGATATTCCCAAAAAAGACCATATAATAACTTTGTCCGCGAACCAAACAACCCCCTTTAACTTTACACGTGAAAAGAGGTACAGACTATAGAGGGGAGAGGGATGGAAGGATGGACAGATAGACAAGACTCATCAAGATGCCATAGGCAAATGAAGTGTATGATACATAAAATAGGCTGCGCTAGGATATTTGAATGTTATTTATCCAACAAAAATGTTACACACTGTCAATTAAAAATCAAATTCTAATACTCTTGCTGGCTCTTGAAAGAAATAAATACCAATAATAAATTCAGCAATTTAATATAACGCAGAAGATCTAGGTCATCTCCAAGCCCAATCTATTTGTTCCTCATCATGATTTCTTACCATCCAAGCTCCTTCAGCAATTTCATCAAATAGCTGGCCCCAACCCCAACTTGAAAATCCCAAAAAGAACCACAAGTCATGGATAGACTGGTTTCCTAACCTTAGCTCTTCTATGATAACTACTGTGGCCCTTTGGTCAAGAAAAAATACATTTGGCAGCACCTCCATTGACTGGTTAACTATATACTTTCTGGAAAACGCAACAAAAGGCATTCCACGTTTCATGACAGGGCCACCAAAAGAAAGAGGAGCCTCCTTCAGAAGCTGTACTCCATCTTCAAGTTCATCAAGAGAGTCCCAACTGATATGTTTGTTGACAATCAGACCTTGAAATCCGGTGCTTTGATCCACTTTCACAATAAGTACTTTGGATCCATCAAACGGGTGAACATTTAGAAGCTTCTCTGTAGCAACAAGGATGGAACCAACAACAACACGAGGAGCTGATTTTGCCGAGCTACCAAGAGGAGCTCTTGTTTGGTTGAACTGATCATCTAATGTTGATCCTTCTTGAAATATAATTTCATGTGGTGAGTTCTTAAATCGAGCCTGTGAATTCATGTTATGATTTATCCCTGGTTCACCTCCAGTCCACAGTATACCTGATGTAGGAAGAGGGAAAGACAAACTTAGAAACATATTTTTTTTAAAAATTAAAAAAATGTACTATGCAGAATACAAAGATAACTGCGCCAAGAAGCAAATCATCAGAAAAAATTATTGATGATAGGCTTCAACTGCATACAAGTACTCACCATATACTATATGAATAGACTTATTCTTTGCTCATTTTACAGGCAGAAGGGAGGAGGGGTTGTTGTTCATACTATGGAATTGGTAATAATTTTATCCTTCCGCCTTCGTTGTACAGCATTTACGTCTCTTCAATGTTTGACATGAAATGCAAACCATGACATATGGAATTAGAACAATAGAGGATTGAGTTATATACTTTTCAAGCAAAAGAGAAAACAATCTCAAATTTACTAGCTTTCCTAAACAAGGCTGGGAATTTTTAAAAAAATTCTTGAAACTCTGGAACGTGGTTGTTTTAATTATTCCAAGAATCCATTCCACTATATGCCTTGGTGCTTAATTCAAGTGGCAAAGGTTGAGGAATGTATGACTTAGATATCAAGTACGAGCTCTGCGCCATGGCATGTTAGCACCCCATTAGTCTACCAACAGTTTACACATGTAACTATTACTTTGGCCCGAGATGGGGTTGTTGTTTATACAGATGCAGGTCTAAATAGGGAGAAGGATAAAGAAAGCATTGGAATGGCGGCTATAGATAGTTGTGGTCATTTTTTTAATGCCTTTGGTACCCCTTATTCAATTTGTAGGGAAGGACATAACTGCTGAAGCACTAGCAATTCGGGAAGCTGTGGAAAGAGCACTACAAAAGGGTTGGTCAAAGGTTCACATACTGATGCAAAGAATGTCATACAAATGTTGCAAAAGAATTTGATAACATCTTTGGAAATAGAGACCATTTGCGAGAATGTCTGGCAATAGATGAAGTCTTTTGAAGAAATCGAGGTTATATATATTCCTCGAACATGGAATGTATTAGCTCACAATCTAGCAAAAATTTCTATTTCGTGTATAAATAGGATTGCTTGGGATTCTTCCTTCCGAAGTTGTGTTCTAACGGATGCAATGGTGTCTTATGGACATTTTAAACATATTTTAAAGTAATGCAATAAAGTATTTTCCTGAGAAAAAAAAATGAAAATGAGTCTGATTAGGGTGATAAAAAACTTTGGGATGAAGATTAAAATTTCGAATTTTTTAAAAGGTTTTCCTTCTTACTTTTGAATTTCAAAAATTAATTTCCTGCCTTTTCTTTACATTTTCATCTTATTTTGTCCTTCTTCTCCTTCTCTCTGCAATTCATCTTCTTTTCTTATTTTATGGACTGTTTTCCGTTGGTCACGAGTGTGGAGAAAATTTGAAAATAACATAAAATTCAAACCATTGAAAAAAACCCTGCAAATCCAACAAATTGTAGAAGTTGTTGTTGCAACAAATTTCAGTAATTACTGCAACTTCAGAATTTAATGCTACAATTACGAAATTTGTTGCAACTCAACAAATACCGACTTGCTGCACAAACTTTTAATGTTATTTAAACAATTGACTGAAGTTGTTTGATTTTCTGCAGAAGGTGCAGGGACGAAAAGTGAGGCGGAAGAGGTGGAGGAGGAGACGGTGCAGATGGAGAGAGCAGAGAATATGGCGGCGGCGGAGGTAGTGGTTGTGGTGGTGGAGGTTGAGGTGATGTCGTGATGATGATGACGGAAGAGGGGGTGACGGGACGGGGAGGGAGAGGGGGAGACAGGAGCTTTGTGTAAATAACAATATCTGATGACCTTTAAAAATTAGTGCATTAACAATAATCTCGATTGTAAACATTAAAGCTTTTAAAGATTTTTAAAATCAGCACCAGAAATCCTATTACAATGCTCTGGTGATGTGCCGACCTTTTCATTTGATAGCCAAAATTATGTGATTGTCCTATCATATTCTAATGTTATTTTCTTTATTGACAGAAATTTTGTAGTGATATAGTTGACAATTAAAAAGACAAAACTTACAAGGTTAAGTCTAATTTTAGATATTAATGATGAATTTAAATTAATTATAGAATATTTTTGTGTGCTAACCAGTGGCTGATCCAGGATTTCCGTTAAAGAGGTTCGAAAAATAAAAATATAAACGTGTAAATAAGTCTTTCGAAATGGGCTCTTTGAATTTTTTTGGGTTATGTTTTTAAAGTAAAAAATGCTTGAAAAACAGAACTGATTTTTTTAAACAAATATACAGTGAAACTATAAAGGAAAAATAAATAAATGTTGTTGCATGGATTCGAACCTGGGGCATGCAGCTTAATATTCAGGAGTCTTACCATTGAGCCATCTATTTTTATTTGTTATTGAGGGGGTTCAAAATATATGCATCTACAAAAATACAGAAAATTTACCTTATATATATTGTGTATTTTTTTGCCGAGAGTGTTTGGGTGAAGACCCTGGACCCAACGTGGGTCCGCCCCTGGTACTAAGAAGTAGTTCAGTAAACTAGGTGGTATTGCTATATACTGTTATAAATTGTAATAAATAAAAAGTATCGCTAAAATTAGTAATTATTTATTAAAAGGTACCTTTTTAAGTAATTTTTCCTATTTTGAATATACTTGAGCACGTTAGAAAAAAATGAAAGAATATTGTATTCTAATCATTCATTCAATTGGGAAGGTATTATACTCGGTTCATTTTATCCCCCTTAAGCACTTCTTTATGCATCTTACCCCCTTCCTACCGCCTCCCCTCCCCCCCCCCCCCCAAAAAAAAAAAACCATTTCCTCGTTTATAAAGCATGCTCACTTTTTCAGTTTTCCTAAACGGAATGATATTTTATGATTATGTGCTTTATTGAGCCAAGGGTCCTTCGGAAATAGCCTCTCTACCTCCACGGAGTAGGGGTAAGGTTTGTGAACACTCTACCATCCCAAAAACATACTTTGTGGGAGGATTTCACTGCGTATCTTGTTTTTGCTCCCACAAATGCCTCCTGCCTCTAACTAATTGGCATGTATGTCTTATTACTAAATTTACTGCCATTCACTTTACATCACAGTTTCATTTTCTTCACCACTGTTTCATTAATTTAAACCAGTCCTACATTCCAATATAGAAACTAGATTCCATTATAGAAACTATTTCCGTTATAGAAACTAATTCCATTATAGAAACTATCCAGTGAGATATCTGTAATGAGTAAGGCACGTAACATCTAAAATTATATTGACCGATTGAGACAACAGCGATCTATGTAGGTTATCAAACTAGCAAATATGGAAGATAAAGAAAAGAAAATGTATATCAGTGAATCTTGACTATCAACAATTTTCTTCTTTCAAAAGAAGAAAATAAATAAAACTAGAACGATATACTGGACATATGAAACCTCCATATATGTTTAGTTAATCAGATTGACAGCTAAGTGTGAATATACCAATGATAGAAAACATGCACCAAAGTTTTTATGAATAATATGAACAATTAATGATATTTTCCTTCCTGCATCCTCTTTTTTTTTCTGCTTCACTCAGATGGGTGGTGTGCAACCACAAATAATTTTAAATCAGGAAACTCACCTTTCTCCTGAGGAAAATCGTAAAAGTGGCTCCCGTGGTGAGCAAGAAAGTCAATGATATTAGATACTGCCATATCTCCACCATAGGGGATAGCTTTCTTCCTCCCAGCTGGAAATAAGAGTAGAGATGGATATAGTTCCCTCTGCAAAATTGCAATGGACAGGCAGGTGGTTTAACACTCATACATATAGATGCATGACTATGAACTGCTTAAGTTTAGTCAGAAAGCATTAGAGTTTAGAGACTACAGAAGCTTTTGATTCTCCCACCTGCATTTCACATGCCAGGAAGAAACTTGTAACAAGATTTCGGCGCAGAAGTGCATGAGTTTCAGCCATTAAACTTTATTTGATCAACAGGATCACTCAACAGCAATGCTCTTTCGAATTAGTCAATTAGTTAATTTTTTCAAAAGATCTGAGCATGGGAAGCACTTGTCTTCTTTTTTTTTTATGACCTTAGTGTATGGGCCAGCTTTCGCACACCTCAGCTAATTTCACAGGATACCTCCCACTAACAACAGGTATTAGACAACTCTATCCACCAAGGCAATGACAGTTGGGAAGAAATCACCTAGTGTTTTTTTTTCTTTTTGTCTCTGTTGGGATTTGAACCCAAGACCTAATGGTTCTCAACTTACTTCATTTGACCACAAGGCAACACCCTTGAACGCAACATGGGAAGCACTTATCTTGGCAGATCCCTAACTATACAAAGAAGATCTCAGCCCAAGCATGTGAAATATTAAAGGCAGTGGCATCTCTTTGCAGAAGGGTGAAAAGAAGCATCAGAAATGAGATTGCAGGTATTACTGCATGCCTTTGAGCCCAACCATTTGCAACCATCTAAGTATGCTAAGTTGCTTATGGAATCTAATACTTCTACAAGTAATCAGCTGAAAAGGCTGTCTTGGGAAGCCAAAGTGTATTGCATACAGGGAAAGTTCTTGGATCATAGGAATCTGTTTTTCCCCTTTTCTAGATCCATGAATTTTAAGTTTAGTACTTATCAGCTCACATAAAAGTAACTTGTAAAAGTTGGTCGTTAATAGGACGGAAATGGTTTCTCACATGGTGGCTATCAACACTAAAAAAGCCAAACCTTTTTTCTCATTAAAAATTTGCAGATCAATGTAAGAGTTTAGCCATGCGATTGGGGCAACCAGAAATGGCAGAAATTTCAAGAAAAAGCATCAGTGTCTAGATTTCCTTGATGAGGATCCCTTCAAGGTTTGTTTTTAATCAAGTAAATGTATTTTCATTCATAAACATGGTATATAGCCGGAAGAAGTACGAACCTCAACCCAATTTAAAACTTGAGCGAATAATCCAATGTCATTCTTCTCCCCAACCCAATTTAAAACTTGAGCGAACAATCCAATGTCATTCATCTCCCTAACAGGAAAATCTCACACTTCCTCAAATTAATTTTAAGGCCTAAAATCAAATGAGAACTTGGCCTAAATAATCCAGTTTGGCCTCAACTACATAAAAAAAGAAACAAAGATATCATACGTAGACAACACTGGAAGGCCAATGGAAGTGGAAAAGCCTAGGTTTTAACTAAGATGGTGGAATATGGTGCTGAGATGCCTTCCAAACACCATGAAAATCAAAGAAATTTGGATCAAAGTCGGGGGTGTTCCTATACACCTTTGGAAGCACAAAGTTTTCGAGGAAATTGGACAAACTCTGTGGTGGAGAAAGAGTTGAAGAACCACATGAAGTGGGCAAGGATTTAAGCTGCAAATGATGCAGAAGCATACCACAAGAGGGTAAGACAAAGTAATGCCAATCTCTGTGACTCGGTACAAAAATCCCTAAGAACATGTTGGGAAGGTACAGATGGCAACTGGAAAGGGGGATTTAAATAAGTCATGTGAAAGCCACATGGATTCTTCAATGAAGAGCTCTGGATTGGGCTTAGAGAGGCCCTAGGGAAGGTAATTTATTGAAGTGGAAAATCGGCCTCATCAGGCAAGCATAGTTATTTTTAACAAAATAACAAATTCATCTCAGTCCATACTCAATAGACACATACTTCATGAAGACATGGAATTCCGTATCTCTATTCCAGTCATGCAAGACACATAACACAACATTGTGCAGGAGATGATAGTGGTAAATCCAAGTGAGGAATGGTGGAAGATTCTATGCAAATCACGGAAGAGACAGTTACATAAGAAGTTTTAAGGGGGGAGATGAGGGGGGAGCCCATGCACAATTGCTGGTCACAGATCATTGACCTCTAAGACAGAATGGGAGATCGAAGAGGCAGAGCCTTTGCACACACAACAACAATTAATTACAGAAAAGGAGGAGGTGTCTATGTGGGTGAAGCAGAACACGCTGAAACTGGGAAAACAATTGGGGGCTGATTTGGGGGGGGGGGGGTGTACAGATAAGGGAAGGAACATCCTAACTATTACATGATGCAATTCAAACTAGTATCATGAAATATCAGGGGTTTAAATAGCAAGTATAAAAGGAGGCTAGTCAAGAACATTATGGGGTATTGGAAAGCTGATATTATCTGTGCACAATAAACTAAATTAGAGAGGGTTATCACGATTGATAATGCAACTATGGGGGCGTAGATGGATTAAAATGGCATGTTTGGAGGCAAGTGGAACTAGAGGAGGGATAATGATGCTATGGGATAGTAGAATCTGGAAAGGAGGAATACCAGATATAGGTGCATACACAGTTACATGTAAATTTCAAGCACAACTGTAGGACTTCACCTGCCATGTAACAAGGGGTGTATGCTCCTAATTACTATGTCGAAAGAAGACTAGTATGGGTGGAAAAATCTATCAGAAGATTAATAGAAGGTCCCTAAGTAGTCTTTGGAGACTTCAACATGGCCAGATATGTCTCAGGGAAAAGGAACTTTGTCAGAAGAAAAAAGGGCATGAGGAAGTTTTCTGATTTGATTGAAGATATGCATCTAATTGACCTCCATCTTGGGAAATGCTCATTTCACTTTGTTTAAAGGGGATAAGGGGGAGATAGCCTTGAGAATTGACAGGATTTTGTTGTCTCAAGAATGGGACGACTCTTTAGCAACTGAAACAAATTGCAATCCAAAGAATTATGTCAGACCTTTCTTCAATTTTTTCATTTTTTTAAGGGAAAAAGGATAAATATACCCCCGAACTATCATAAATGGTATGTCAATAACCTCCGTTATACTTTAAGGATGTATATGCCCTTACCGTCATTCTTTTGGGTTGTGTGTATCCTTGAAACTAACGGACGAACACGTAGCATCATCTAAATGATTCACCCGATTTTATTTATTTTTACCCGAAAATTAAAAATCCACCCGACCCACAACCAAAATGGG